AGCAAAATTATCAACTCTAAGTGTTAAATTATTTATCTTGCACCTTTTTAGGGGAAAGAAACTTGTTTCTAAGTGACAAATAATATAACTTGCACCTTTATGGAAAGAATTAGTGAAATTTATACTATTAATTATTAATCACAAATACGACAGTTAAAATAGCAAAATTATCAACTCTAAGTGTTAAATTATTTGTCTTGCACCTTTTTAGGGGAAAGAAACTTGTTTCTAAGTGATAAATAATCTAACTTGCACCTTTTTACGGGAAAGAATACAATAATTAGCGTTTTAACCGAAGGGTCGCTCTACAATGATACTGTCCGCACTGAACTACACCGGAACTTTTGACCATCGCTCTGATTTTTACAGCAGCTTATATACTATTGAATCTAATGCATTTTAGGGATGTTGAGTGGTGGAAGCATTTTGTTTTAGGTGTTTTGACCACACATCGTTTTAGGCACGTACAACATGCACTGTTTTAGACACGTACAACATGCACTGTTTTAGGCACGTACGATTGTAATATGATCTTTTTCTATTTTATTCTACCTATCATCTATTAATTTAAACTTATAATTTTTATTCGATTCATTTCCATTAATTCAGACATTGATAAGTGTTTTTGAATTCAATAATCGAATCGACAATCGATTATCGATTAATCGATTTATTTTCGATTTGATACATTTAAATGGATTCATATTAATATTTTGACAATAAATAATAATTATCAATGATTAAATGTCATATGGATCGATCAAATAATTATTCTTATTAATATTAAATGATTTTATAAATTAGAAGAATATATGCTTTCCTATCATCTTTTAAAAATGCGTCATCTCTTTCATTCATAGCTTGACACTTGTCGTAAAGACAGAGTTCGTTGATTCATTATACTATTTCATTCACGTGAGTAATAACACGTGTTAATGAATCATGTGAATGAAATATTATAGTATTTCATTATGATTTATATTTTATGCTTTCAATTTAGGATTCGTAAAAGAAGATGTAATATTTTGAACTATGTCCTTAGACATTGTTTGAATATTACATTTATGAAATTTATTTAATTGATTATTTAACTACATTATTAAATTTACGAAATTTATAAAATTTTGAAATATGTCGGGATGTAACAGTAATCATAATAATACAACACTAACCTACCTAATTTTTTTACACAAAAAACATTTTTATAATAAAGTTTAAAAATTAAAAAATTATATCATTTATATTAATTTATTTTTAAATTTATATTCATAAGAAAATCTGATTATGTACACTTTTTGCCGCGTGAATGACTTTAGTAATTGCAGGCCTCGAACTGAGTACATAAATTAAGGAAAAGTACGTAATTTTGAATTTGGTACCTAAAAGTACGTAATTTTGACAAAAGGTCCGTAAAGTACGTAATTTTGACCATTTCGACTAAAAATCAAAATATGTATACAGATTGTGAATAAATATTTAGTTATGCCTTCTCTATTTTTATTCACATTCACTTTCCGATCAATCCGCTGACGGTGATCATTTTCAGAAACAGTGATCGGTCGAAAACGAAACTCATATTTTGTTAATAAAGGGTTCATACCACTATACATGCCTCAAAATTTAGCTTTTTTGTAGAATTTTTTTACGATCCATGTAAATTTTATTGATCTAGGTCTTTTATATCTAGGTATTTTTTTAAATTTTTTTTTCTTTTAACAAAGACACTCTCTAACTATATAGAAAACGTCGTTTTATTAAAAGAAATATTGTTTAATTATTTAAAATTTAACAATAGAATACACAACATGAAAAAATGTGAATTCTATTTTGCGATTTAAAGTCGGCACTTTCAATAAAAATTACAAATTTTGGTACGTAAATTGGTCACTAATTTCTCCTTTTTTGGTACGTAAAGTACGTAATTTTCAATGCCAAAGGCAGTTCGAGGCCTGTAATTGACCGTTTGCTGATTCGAATGCATACGCATTATGAGACCAGAGAGGGCCCCATTCGAATACGCTTCTTGCTAAATGTAACAATAAGTGAATGTTGAATGTCATCAAAACTTTAGAATAAATTATTTCCGTCTGAGCAACAAACTCATGCAAGAGTTGATCCGCAAAATCTATATCTTGAACTCGAATGTCTTCTTTTAGTAGCAAGTAAAGGGCTTCCACAAACAATATCCAATGGCAAAATAATTCTTCTGGTAAGACATCTTTTAATATTATGGGACTATAAAATAGAATCCAATTCTCCTACTCTCTTGATTTCCAAAATGCTTTTTCAGAAAATGGACGTGTTAATCGAATAATTTGATGTGGAACTTTAAAATTATTTAGTGTTTTATCAATATCTTCGATTTTTGATTTGCTGAATATTCCAGACTTTTTTGCGTTGCCAAACCACGTAGTTGCAAATTGTTTTGCTATTCCTGAACAGCAGTGCATACTATCTACAACTACACCGTAAATGAAATTGAAACCAAGGAGATTTATAAGATGAGAATATGCCTTAACACCGAAAATAGGAGTTTTTTTGTCAACTGCACTTTTCATAAGCTTTTCCGTTTCTTTAACGGTTCTATTCTTCGGAACTTTTTTTAGCAAAGGATATTTCATGTTTCCAGAACGTGGATTATTAGGATTACATTTTACCGATTCGCCTGGATGTAGGCATAGATGACAGCCATATTTCCCATTAAATTGTACAAATCCTAACATTGGAGCGCGAGCGACTGTATCCACGCAACACACTAATGGAAAGATTTTAATATTACGATTATTACCATTTATTTTACATGATACTCCTTCCGTTGAAAGCTTGTTCATAGTTTCTACAAATGGGTCAAGAAAGACTTGCATGTTCGGTTTGTCTTTACCAAACCAAAGGCCTACGTCTATTACCTCTTTTGTTCGTACATTATATGGTTATTCATTTACCATCAGATATATGGGCCATATAGAGTAAGACGAACTGGTAAAAAGTGGTGCACCGTCAGTATTAAAAATAACACTTGCATAAGCATGTTTATCAGATTCATTCAATTTTTTAACAAAATTTCGATAACGCTTCCCGTCATAAATATCACGAATGTGACCTTTTTCGTACGGCCTCTCATTCATGACATAATTGTGATAAGTACTGTTTGATTCCAGTAATTTTGAAATAGGTGCACTCGGATCTATCGTAACGAAAAAGTCTTTATGCTTATAATCGCCTACCTGGATTTTTGTTTTGCACACGCCACACTTTACAAACTTGTCTTTACGTTCGAATTTCCCAACGTACGCACCACAATTGGTACATGTCGCATGAAGTTGCATACAATCTTCAGGGTGAAACAACTTGTCTATCAAATATCGAGTGTTCGGCAGAATATGAAAAGCAAACATACAATTAATGAGCATAAACAGATCAGTGATTTGTGTTAATGATAATGCATGCACTAGAGCGTACTTTACAACCATAAATATTAATTCACCAACACTTTTATCAACTGGAACATTAATAGGAAATTCGAAATCTTTTATATTTAACATGTCTTTGAAAGACTTAAACGGTTTCTCTGGAGATTCGTCATCATCTTCATTGTCATTTATTAAGTCATCATCATCTAAAATATCCATAAAGCATTCAGCTTCTATATCGTCCGAAAATAACATTAATTAATTAACTATTGATCATAACATATTGAATATTAAATATATAAACTTCAGATGTTTTAAAAAAGTTGAATATACAAAACTTATGCCCAAAGTAAAAGAAACGTTTGTGGATTTAAATTATGCAGCACGAACGTATCTTTTTAACTAGGACTACAGAAAATAATTTATTAAAATAATTTTCACTTTCACCATCTTCTCCCAAATATTATTTATTATTATTCATGACAAATGTCTGCTTCTTGTGTAACATAAACAGAACTATAAAACAATATGTTTAAAGTTAAGAGACACAAGAGTACAAATACGAAAAAAACTAATTTTTTGTTATCATACAAATTAAAATAACAAAGACGATAATTTGTTATTATTTAGAAAACTTGACGGTTTCTTTGACAGCTGTCAACTGTCAACATCCATATTTGATGTTATATTCTTAATCAGCGACCTCGAAAACCTCATTATTGTCTTTTTTTTATTAAAAATGATCACTTTTTAGAGAAGTTGATATATATAAATCTCTATTATTATTTTATTAATGTTTAGAAATGTCTAAGACTGGAGTCCCATGGCAGCGTTTTGTAAGTAGACCATGACTGCAAATGTAGCAAATATATCCCAGATAACAAAATGCGGACACAGTGTCAGACACTAAGCTCGCACGCATGACGAATAATCCGCACCGCGCGCTTTCACTGAATCAAACAGATGCGTCCTCATATGCTACGCATTTGACTCGCACGCGTGAAGGTCGCACGCGTGACGACAAAATGCGTGTTTTATATATTATATATTTATTGTACTCTCCCTGCTACAATCATGCAGGGTTCGAGGATCCTTTTTACATTTATTTCTTAAACCTAACTTAACCTATTACATCGTCGATATTCTGCTTACTTAAATCTATCATCTTACTATTAACTACTCTTATCTATCTATATTAATGTTAATCTATATCGACCAGTGCCAGGGCTTCCGTTTCCTGTTCCTTTATGCCCTTTATGGCTTCGTCATTACTCTAACTTTAATATTTAAAATTACTCAATTTCCTTTTTGCTTCTAATTCCCTCATCCATTCCTCCCCTTGTCCAGATTCATCCAAAATCCATCTCACTCTTTCATTTATTCCCATACACTCTTCTTCTTTCCTTTCGCATCTATCTAACACATGCCCCCAGTCTTCCAATTCAAATCCACACACTCTACACAGTTTCTCCTCTTCATTCATCCAATATCTACATTCGCTCATGCCCTCACCCATTCTAAACCTTATTACACTTTTCCATTTACTCTCTTTCCAACTTCTCCTCAGGTACTTCGGAATGCCATCTCCCTTTACCATCCGGTACCACCTGTTGTACCTTGACTTCCCGATTTTCTCCCACCTCTCATCCTTATCCCTTTTTTCAACCTTAATTCCATTACACCCTCTACCCCTATTCCATTTTGACCCTTATCCTTTCTCACTTTTCTTCTCATTTTCTCCCATCTCGTCATTTCCCTTGCACCCCTTGCCTCCCTTTCCTCTATTTTCTCTAAACACATTCTTGCCCAATCACTTCCTCCTCCCTGTCTCAACTTCTCTTCAAACCTCCATGCTCTCTTTCTCTGTCTCACAACCATTTTCTCTCTCTCTAACTCCTCTCTCAACATATACCCCGGACAATACATACTCACCCCCATCACCCATCTCAACAATCTTTCATGCATGCTTTCCACTTTCTTTTCTTCCTTCCATCCCCACACTTCCGCTCCATAACTCACTATTGACCAAATCAGTACATCGAACAACCACACTCTCCTTTTCCAATCATCCTTAAACCTTCTTTCTCCTATTCCCCATACTTGCCCCATCACTCTACTCGCTTTTTCCACCCTTCTTTTAACATTCAATTCATGCGTTCCATTCCATTCAAACCAAAAACCCAAATAACAAAACTCATCTACCTCTTCTACTTCCCTTTTATTCATTTTCCAATCATACTTTTTCCCCCCTCTCCTCTTTCTAAATCTAACTACTTTCGTTTTTTCCACATTCACACACAAATCTTTCTCTCTTGCATACTTTCCAAACTCATCCATCAATAGCCTTATAGCCGCCTCGTCATCCGCCATAAGCACCACGTCATCAGCATAAGCCAATGAGTACACCCTTCCTGCTCCCAAAACTACTCCTCCTTTTCCTCTTCTTTTCAGTTTCTCCTCTAAATCCGCTAATGCGTGTTTTATATTTATTTTTAATCTCATTTTTATTAGAATTAAATTAAAAGGAAAGAATAATACATCATTTATAGAAAAACGAAATAAAATATTTTATTATAATCAAGGTTTATAATTTTGTGTACGTTGACATAAAAATTTAATAACAATTGCGTATAAAAGCACTGGTATAAATAATTACTTTAAAAAAAAACAACGACGATATTTAACGACGATATTTAAATTAATATAATAAAAAAACTTGTTTAATTATAATTTAGAAAAGTTAAATTAATGTCATAGAAGAAGAGAAAGAAAATTAAGAGGAATCATTTGCCGAATCATCTGCCAAATCAACTGCCGAATCCTCCTCCTCGTTTAAGATATTATTCTATTGACTTTCGAATTCAGCGATTTTCTTTATTTGACGGTTCATCAAAATTTGGACACTTTGTCGCCAAAACTAAAAAATATATAAATATTGAATACAGGCTACACAACCCTTCTAGACTCGTCGATATCTGATGTGGCAACGTATAAACCAACATCTTTGAATTCCTCAGTTACCAACTATACCACCACCAGAAGAAGATCATGGACGTCACCTGCACTCATCGGTCCTCCTCTTCGTCCTCCTCGCAGATTGCGGCCGTCACATCCCTGGCACATATCGATGCGTCAGAGTTCCTGAGTAGTTGCGGACCATCCCATAAATATTGAATACAGTTAAAAGTTTAATTATTAAGAATGTTTTTAATAAATTTACAATATTTATTTAAATTTGAGTTTTTCTATTCCAGTTTGCTTGAAAATAAGATTTTTATAGTATTTCAAAATATAAAAAATACTTCAGACAAATTAATTAATTCAAGTTTTTCCTTTAATTCATGTTGATTCCAAGGTTTTTGAGATGAGAATTAAAATCAATAGAAATTCAATGTTTTTAAAATTTTCAAAAATTAATGAATACACACTTTGACTTAAAAAAAATTCTATCAGGCTTCACACTCATCTACTAAAACCTACTGCTCACTCAATTTTTACGATTAGCCACTATTTCCATATTTTTTAAAAATTTTTGACACTAAAAGCTACTTTTAAATTTTGCGAAAATTTGCACTACTTAAAATCTGCTCCATAGTTGCAATAAAAAATTTTTTCTTTAAAATTTTAAAACAATTCAATTATTTTCAAAAAATTCTAAAAAATGTTTTGCAAGAAATTAATTATTTTCAAAAATAATAAATACTTTACTGTAATTTAAATTTTTTCAATATCTATACAATTTTAATACAATTTCTTTAAAAAATTCAATTATATTAGAAAAAAATTAAGAAAAAGTCCACATAAAAATTTAATAATTATCATAAATAATAAAATTTTTACAGGAATTAAATTATTTGAAATACAATTTTCAAGAGTATTCTTCCAAAGAAACCAATTATTTAAAACATTATAATAAAATTGTTTAAAAGTAATTAATAATTTCACCAATTTGGAAAACATTTATTTATAAGAATTAAATTATTTTCTCATATATAAAAATTTTATCGCAAGAATCCAATTATTTTTAATTCAATTTTAATTAAATTTTTCGAATTAGTTGAATTATTCTTTTAAATATTCATAAAATTATTCAAAAAATTCAATTATTTGAAAAGATCTAATAAAATTCAATGCAAAAATTGAATTATTTTTATAAATATCAAAACTTTTCATCGGATTTCAATTATTTTTAATAAACCTTTAATGAATTCGTCGAAAAATAAAAATTGTATTTAATTAATTGAATTCTTGTAGAACTTTTTAATAAAAATAGATTTAAAAATGAATTTTAGTTAAAATTGTAGATTATAATTAAATATTGAGTGAGTTATAATATATATTTTTAGTAATAAGTAGTAAAATTTCAAAAAGGTTTTACATTAAAATTATTTGAAATTTGCATTACTGTGGAGAAATAAATAAGTATTTATATACTTGTTTAACAAAAATTATTCAAGTACAAATAATTGAATTACGAAATTATAAAAGAAATAATCCTTTGAAAATATGAAATAGGTACAATTTTTTGAATATTAAATAAGTTAAATTATCGTGAAAATAAAAAATTGTTATTTTAATTTACATATAATTGAAAATTTTGTCAAATTTAATTAAAGTAAATTTACTTTATCTAAAAAATTTATTTTTTAAGCCTTAAAAATTATTTTTAATAATAAAAGAATTTTTGATGAACTTTAGCAAAACCTTTTTTTTAGAAATCTACAAATGTCAAGACAATGCAAAATAAAATTTTTGGGATTCGACTAAAACGAGTTTTTATTTGTTAAATTTAATTTTTCAATAACTACTTTATAATACTTTTTTCAGTCTTAAAGATACGTTTTTACTTTTTTAAAATCAATTATTGAGTGCAAAGCTTGTTAGTCATTTTTTTCGCGCAAGTAGAGAGTAAGAAAACTTACGATAGAAAGCATTAGCAACTGTTGTGACACCAAATTTTAACGAGTTTTCTCCCCCATTCCATGTTCCTGGACTTGCTGCTCCCAAATGAATCAGATGGCTAATCTATATCAGAAAAACAACAGAACAATTATATAAGAATGTCGTCTAATTATTTTATACAAGCGTTGAAAATTTTTGCGTTCCCAGTAAAACTTTCTTTTAAATGATAAAATTTTAGTGAACTGATAAATTTACTGAAAAAAGTTTACATGTCAAAAGATTCCTCTTAATTCTCAGTAACTTTTATCAGGGTTGCAACAATGTTCTATTACATTTATTTACAAAATTCTTTAATAAATTGTAAAATTATTCAAAAACATCAATAACTTTTTTTTTTAAACAAACATTTAATCATTATTACTTTTCCGTAGGAATTAAAACTCCTCAAAACATTCAAATTCAAACCTTTTTTAAATTCAACAACTTATTAGAATATTATTACAAAACATGAAGAAGGCGATCACTCCGAGTCGAAGACTCGGAGTTATCGCATTCTTCATGTTTTGTAATAATTTAAATTACTATAAAACTTTTCAAAAAAAGTTAATTATTTATAAAAATTCTAATTAAATCCTTTGCAAGAATTCAATTATTTTTCCAAGTCGTAAAACTCACAAAAATTCAGTTATTTAAAAAAAATGTAATAATATTGGTTGCAAGAATTCGACGGCTCCCGTTGATATGATCTTGTTTCAATTGTCAAAATAATAAAATCGTCTTTGGAGCTCAGTTCAATATGATCTCTATTCAATTGTCAATTTAATATAATTTCGCAAAAGTTTCCGTGTAATAAAATCTTAATTCAGAGTAATTTTAAATTCACTTAAAAAATAAAATATTAATTCGTTTTTAATATTATTTTAGGTTTTATAATGATTAAATAATTATTAATAAAATAAAATATAGAAAAATAAATGAAGAAAATTATAAAATAAATAAAAAACGATATAAATAAATTAATTTTTAACAATTAATATACGAAATAAAAATTAGAAAAAAAATAAAATTATACGAAACTAATTAATAATAAAAATACTAAATAAACTAAAATTAAGTAAAATTTCATTACGTTTTAATTATATTTTATTTTGTTAATAATTATTATTTTAAATTTCTTTGATTTATTTTATTAATTTTACTATTATTGTAAGTTAATTATTCTATTTATAAAAATATTTATTTTTTATTATTTATATTACCTACATTATACCTAAAAAAGAATTTCAGTTGAAAAATGTAGTGTACCTAATATAATTCTAAATATATTTTTTAAATATTATAGATAATACCCATTTTATTATACTTTGTTAATTTTTTTTTAATTAATTAATTTTATTATTTTTTGCAATATTATTTCATACTTTTTAATGAATAATGAATTTTATTAATTAAAATTAGTTAGTTTTGTATTTTTATTATTATTTAGATTTGTATAATTTTATTATTTATTTTTCCATTTAATTAATTATTAAATTAATTATTATTATTTATTTGTTATAGGGTTGCTTGAGAACCCATACAAAAGAGTTTGATACATAATACTTAAAAACTAAATACAAAAAAAAAAGAATTTTACTCGTAAAAGATGTTACTTAAAATTTCGTAAACATAGTATACCACTTTCTTAGACGAAGCAGGATTTCTATCATTTAACAACTCTAGCCAAGACACTCTCACACATTCCTCATCGTCAGGATTAACAAAATATTTATTCCTAATACCCACCAAAGCTTTACATTGAACAAGGAGATGATATTCATCAGAAATCAGTTTCTGATCTTCGCAATTACATTTTTGTTGTTTAGAGAGTTTAAAACATTTATTTTTTATTATTATTCTACATTGAAAAACATTGAGTAATCTATATTGCGCTAATGCCTTCATGATCTCTAATGGTAATCTTGCCAATAAGTATGGCTGAGTACCGTCATATAAATTTAATTGATTATAAAGCTTAAGGGAGGAGGACTTTTGGAGACTCAATATATCCTCATTAAATAAGAAGTTTTTATATTTTTCCAATAATTTACTTTTAGAAAATTTTAATAATTCAGGTGATAAATTAATCCAGGTCTCCTCCTCCCCTATGCTATCAAAAAATATTCTTTTGACTTGAGAGGCCCAATTATACTTCTCTTCACTCCTGTTACAATCCGACAAAAATTTAAGACGCTCAAAACAGATTCTAGGATATCTCTCAACTTCCATATCATAAATTTTTTCTAACCAATTTAATAACATTTTAAATATTCTTAGAGAGATATGATGACTCCCTGTCTCTATTCTTACCGCATAATTTGGAGTATTCCGGGGAAGGTTAAGAACTCTTTTATAAAAATTTAAATGCATTTTTTCTATATCCTCTAAATACCTAAGTCCCCAAATTATAACTCCATACAATAATATGCTGGCAATAAGACTATCAAAAAATCTATCAATAGGTCGCCAAGAGTGAAGATTAAGATTATTAATAAGAGGGATCGTAGTACCAATCACTAGTTTTGAATTAGATACTGCTTGCTGCGTCGCTGATGCAAAGAGAGCAGATTCCGCAAACGGTATTCCTAGATATGTGTACGAGTTTACAATTTCAATTTCTTCTTTATCAAATATTAGAGGAGGATATTTTTTAGTGTGACCTCGACCACCCTTCTGGAAAACCATGACTTTTGTTTTTTTGACATTTATTGTTAATTTGTTAATTTGACAGTAATCTTGGAGAATTTCAATTATTTTTTTCATTTTAATTATATTATCTGCAAGAATGGCTATGTCATCTGCGTAGGCTTGAGTGAGAATTTCTTTTAAATGGTTAATAGCAACTCCCCTTACCCCTCTATCAATCAAAAATTTATCTAAATCAGAAATAAATAAATTGAAAATCCAAGGACTCAAAACTTCACCCTGCATCACTCCTTCAGTGGCCTCAACATTAGCGGAGTTACCCTCCCTCCCTTTCACTGAAACGGATGCCCTAGAATACAAACTCATCAGTATTCTGATGAATTTCGAGCCAATACCCAGATTGTACAATTTCTTTTTAATTAGATAGTGAGACAAAGATGGGAATGCGCCTTTAAAGTCTATAAACAAGACAAACAATTTCCCCTTCTTCAGATTTATTCTATTCTGAATCATAGCATTCAGCGTAAATAAATTATCCAAACAGGAGCGCTTTTCTCGAAAACCCGACTGCGATTCAGGCATTAAGTTATTCGCATTTATCCATGAGGAAAGACGTTTCGAAAGAATCTGCGTGAAAACCTTAAGTGTGGAGTTTAATAAAGCGATTGGCCTATAATTTAAATGATCAAATTTATCTCCTTTTTTATGAATCATTATTAAATCAATATTTGTCCAATCTTCAGGAACTTTTTGTGAATCCATTATTTTATTAAATAATTTTACCAAATAATCAATTCCATTATCAGGCAGACTCTTCAGAAATTCATATGTTATACCATCGGGCCCCGGTGCCTTATTAAATTTACAATTTCTGAGACTAACAATTACTTCCTCTTTTGTTATAGGAGGGTCAACAAATTCATTATAAGACTCAGAATTGTTCAAAATATAGAGATTAGCGCTCCTTTGTGGAAAAGATTCACTAAAAAATTTCGCCCATGATTTCAGGTCCAAAAGATTTATTACGTTAGCTTTACGGCGGGATTTATTAACAATTTTCCAGAAGGTTGTCGGATCTTTTGCCGACGCTAAAATTTCAATGCGATAATCATTATAAACTTTTTTCTTTTTCTCTAATAAATTTACGTAACTCCTCCTAAGATTATTATATTCTTTAGTCAACTCTGGAGGAAAATTTTGCAGTCTACACTCTTTTAACTTACTTTTCAAAAACTTTCTTTTTTCTAAACACTCCATATCGTACCATACTTTAGAGAAGCCAATTCTATTATTCCGAACATGCAACATACCCAAATTATCAGCAACATTTTTAATAGTATTTACAAAATTCGTAGATAGAGAGTCAATGTCAGCGTCAGTTTGTAAAGATTTTAGAGACAATGAGAGAGCATTGTTATATTCAGAGATAAAATTATCATTCCATTTATATTTTGCTTTATTAACTATAACTTCATTCTCAAAACTAAGTGAAAGAGCCACCGGAAAATGATCAGACCCGGACACCATATTCATTACTTTTAAATTATTAATCATAAATGTACTGAACATATTAGTCCAAACCAAATCTATTATCGATTTTCCGCCTATAGCATTCATGAATGTATAAGTCGCCGGTATATCTCCGGTGGTTCTCCCATTCATTAAAATCATACCCAAACTCTCAAAACAAGCTACTAATTTATTTCCCCTATTATTTATTTCTTTGTCGAAGGTTAATCTATCATTAAATAAATTATTATTAAGTAAGTTTATATCTTTATCAATTTGGTTTAAATTGCCAACTCTAGAGTTCATGTCCCCACCAATGAATATAGGCGTGTCTATAAGATTCTCATTTATAGTATCAAAAATATCATTTAAAATTTCCAAATTATTAGAGATAGGATCAGTGGGGTTAAAATATAAAAGGCCTACTATAAATCTGACATTACAATTCCTGTCAGAAATTAAAATAAAAATAAATGAGTCACTTTTATGTAAAATTTTAACATTATAAATTCGCGCGTTGATTAAAATGAGCATACCTCCTTTGGGCCTTCCTCTTCCCTCACACTTCGTTGCCGGAGAAAAAATAGGCTCCAATTTGTAGTTTGGATGACAAATTTTTAATTTTGGCAAAGATGTGGACCAAATTTCCGTCAAACACAAGATATCTTCATTCGATGAATTTTCCAATAACTCTGAGATGTTTTTCCTTCCTCTTGTATTCCAGAAGAGAATCCTAGGGCCCAGCTTGTGGTTGGATTGTCAGGCCTCGGGGGTGGTTTTTGTTTCCTTAACATCAGTTATCTCTTTTTGGAAAAAATCCTTTAAGTTACCTGAAGGTGGAATCGACGAACTTTTCTTAGAGTTTTTTAATTTTTTGAATTTTAAAGACTTATTTTTTGACCCCTCAGGTCTTCCCCTCTTTCGAGTAATGGTAGGAATTGTT